AATCTCATGTTGATTTTTGTTTTCTTCAGTAGACTTCATCTTAATATAACACCGTTCTGAGAATGCCTTCTTTTGCTTTTTCCCTAACACTAATTAAAATGAAGTTGAACGGCGAGGCTGGTGGCACCCAATTAAACACGGATCAAAAGGCAAGTGTTGCCTCAGCATCCCATTTGGGATCCTTCTCTTCTTCCGCGTCATCTGTGATTAACACCAACTCAAAGGCAGCTTGCAAGTCAACCTCAATGCCTGCATTTTAGACTTTTCCTGTACTGTAGCGTCCTGCAACAGAATGTTCCAGATCTTCTGCCATCATCATCTGAAGCGCCACACCCTCAGGGTGGCTCCTGTGGACCAGCCCTTCCATTTCTCACAGGCATGAGGGCTGGCCCTTCTGTGTACAGGTTTACTCTTGGCAGTCATCTCACACACATAGCCATGACTGCTGTCTGTAAGCACCAACTCATATACAGCCATATCAACCTGTTCTCAGTATGACCAATGGCTCCGTCTGCCCCACACCTTGCTTTCACAGGCAGTGCTCTCACAGAAGCTGTTGCTAGCTTTGGACTTTCCCAGCTCCTCACTACAAGTTCTGCGGTTGCTTCCCTGGTACCCAACCCCTTCCTCCTTCACATCAGCCAGGGTGGAGCCAGCCAGGAGGCCTAGATGTTGGTCATTTCACCATCACTGGTAAGCCCTAATTCTGACTGACACTGGCCAAATGGAACCCCAGACGAGTCCTTCCACACATCCCACACATTTCAACACATCTCTAGGCTCTGCTACTGAAAGAAGGGCTATGTCATCTAAGGGGTCAATACAACACCTGCACATCCCACACTGAAGTGCCTGGGTTCACATCCCAGCTCTGCTCCAACGCCAGCTCCCTACTAAGGCAGACAGGTGATGGCAGCTCAAACACTTGGCTCTCTGACTGGAGATGGCCTGGATTGAGATCTTGAAGCCTGAGCCACCGTGGGCCATTGTGGGTCACTAGGGAATGAAGCAGGAGATGGAAAGTTTCACTCTCAGTGTCTTTCTCTTGGCCTTTCCAAACGAAAAATCAATAGCCCAGCATGGCCCCTCACTCATTGTGCAACATGGGACAAGGATAAAGGACTCTGTCCCTCAGTCCCTCACTGTTAGAAGGTAGAAGGTCCATAGTAGTGTATGCCCCATGGGGCAGGGAATGCTTGAGTGCGTGCAATCAGGTCCCTGTTTTAGCAGGTACCACAGCATGTTCTCATCACCTTGTCCACCTTTTCAGTGTGACAAACAGCAGCTGGGACACAGGCTAAAAACTGCTGAGCACTTAACCAACATGGTGGTATGGATAAAGACATTTAAGATATATATATACATATATATATGTATATACTTATTTAGTTTTGAAAGGCTTAATTAGAGAAGGAGAGACAGAGAGACAGATTTTCCATCTGCTGTTTCACTCTGCAAAAAGCCCCAGTGGCCAGAGATAGGCTTGTACTTACGTGGGAGCCAGGAGCTTATTCTGGGTCTCCCACATGGATACAGGGTTGCAACTACTTGGACCATCTTCCATTGCTTTCCCAGGCACATGAACAGGAATCTGGATCAGAAGTAGAATACCCAGGTCTTGAACCAGTGCCCATAGGGGATGCTGGTGCCACATGCAGGGCATTAACTTGCTATGCCACCGGTGCCAGCCCTCTATCAGGCATCCCCCTGCTTCGTACTATGACTTATAACTATCATAGTGTAACGCACATTATTGAGTGTCCAAATTGCTTTTCCTTTGAGACTTCACCTCTAAAGCCACATTCAGTCCTGAGTTCAAACAGTCCAGGGCTTTCTGCTACTGAACCCATCTCTTCCCTCTGGATTAGAACACACGAATGGCTCTAAAGGGGAAATCTTTGAGTCCATTTCCTTTCCTATAATTCAAAAACGTTCACTTTTCTGCTTAGTAAGGCAGGTGGTGAGCCCAGCGGCTTTGTCTCCTTCCTGTAGGTGAGAAGAAAGTCCCTGGGTCCCTGCCATCCATGGGAATAACCCAGAGCCAGTTCTTGGCTGTTGTGGCAATCGAGTAAATTGGTGGGTGGCAAAACAGTCTCTTATCTGCTTCTCCAAATACATCCAACATCAATCAATCAATCAGCAGCTTGTCTGTGGAGCAGCAATAAACGGTGTGTGTTTGCTAAGAAGTCTACATTTTTCATGTCAGATTGTAAAATGCCACAAGTAAAAAGCACAGGTTTGTTACATGGCATAATCTAGGCCATCCTCATCAGACATCAGGTATTAATGAAAGCGCATTCATGTAGCATGTTTTCCCACTGGTTCATTTCTTCTTGTATTTGGCTTTTGCAAAATGGTGTGCACTGAGATGGGCCCTGTGGCCCACCAGGTTAAACAACAGGTTGTACCACCTGTATCCCATATAAGACTACATGGGAACAAGCTCCACCTCCACTTCCAATCCAGCTCCCTACTAACACACCCAGGAGACAGCAGAAGATGCTCTGAGTTCTTGGACCCCGCCACCCACATGGGAGACCTGGATGCAGTTCCCAGGTCTGGCCCAATACTAACTGTTGCAGATGTTGGGGAGTGAACCAGTGGTTGGAAAATCTCTCTCTCACACTACCCCTTTCACTTCCACCTCCATTTTCTTCTTCCTCTTCTTCTTCACCCTTTGTTTCTCTAACTCTGTCTCTATGCCTTTAAGATAAATAAATAAATCTTACTTTCTTAAAGACAGCTGCAAAGAAAGAGGGAGAGATGACAGAGACAGATCTCCCATCTACTGGTTCGCTCCTCCAAATAGTTACAGCAGCCAGGGCTGGGCTAGGTCAGGGCCAGCAGCCAGGAGCTTCTTCTGGATCTCCCACATGGGTGTACGGGCCCAAGCACTTGGATCATCCTTTACTGCTTCCCCAACAACAGCAGCAGGGAGACAGATGCGAAATGGAGCAGCCCAGGACTGGAACTGGCACCCCTGTGGGATACCAGTGCTGCTGTAGGCAGCAGATTCACCCTATATTGTTCTTGTAAAAATGAATTTCCCCAAGAGTGGCACGGATTTCTGCTAGCAAGGGCCCAGCTGGACCTGGTGTTTTATCAATGAGGACCTGATAAAGGGCACATCCAGCATCAATAGGGACACAGCGACCCTGACTGTGAGGAACTAAGAATTGCAGGCTTTTCTGAACTCAGAGCCCTTTCAAAGAAATCAGTCTCCTGAGTTGTCAGATACCCACTCAAGAATTTATTTCCAATGGAGATTTCATAGGCGTTGGAACTGGGAAAGGTTTAAAATGGGGCCATGGCAGTGCATGTCATCCTGCCAGTATTGCCTGCTTCCAGGGGAACAACATACTCTGGTGTCAGAAGACCCAAAGGAGAAATCCAACCCAGGCCAGCCCTACAGAGTAAGGCCATAAACACTGGAATTCCTGACCTTGGCTCAGATCTGGGGAAAGTTCCTAAACCTCTCCCGGCTTATTGGCTTCAGACTCCCTACTTCTTTCCATGGACACCACCTAGCCAATGCCAGATGAAGCAATGGGTGCCATCTATGGCATAGTAGGTTAAAACCTGGGCGTGCAGCACTACCATCCCGCATGGGTACCAGTTCAAGCCCCCACTAGTCCACTTCAGCAGCAAAGGATGACCCAAATGTTTGGGCCTCTTAACCATGCGGGAGACTAGGATGGAGTTCCAGGTTCCAGGCTTTGGCTGGGCCTAGCCCTAGTGTTGAAGATCTCTCTTTGTCTTTCTCTCTCTCTCTCTCTTGCTCTAATTCTTTCAGTAACTCCACTTTTCAGATAAATAAATAAATATTTTAAAAACAAACTTTCTCATCTCTCTCAATCTGGAGTCAATGTTGCAGCCAGGGAATTTCCTCTCACTTCCAACCCTGTGGTCACACACACACACACAAACACACACCCGCTACTACCACCACCATCACCCAGGTAGTTTCTTCCCCTAGTACTAAGCCATGGTCTGTCGCTCATCACACAGAAGTAACACAGGAAAAAACATACTTCTCACGCTGGAAGAGAAGAGTGAACCTATTGTCAACAGAAAAACAGTACTTTGGCATGCTCTTGGAACCATAGGAGAACAATCCTTTATACAAGTTACCTAGGTCCATCCTCCATTATCTGGGGCCCCATCTCTTTCTCTTACACCTGTGGTCAGTGTGAATAAAAAGCAAGCATTAACTCCATGAAACACATATGTCCTGTACTTCCTTTGCTAAACACAAGGCCACATTTAAGGAAGGAAAGACAAGCATTGAGAATCAAATACATATTTAAACAATGGAGGCCAGTGCCAGTGTCCAATTCCACGAAGACTCCCACACTGGGAGTTATGTAGACACAGGAGCTGGAGTAGCCTCCCTCTCTCCCTCACCCACAGGCCTAACAGCAAAGGCTTGCTGCTCTTTCCTTCGGGGCCTTCCCGGCCTTCAGCAATCTCAGAGGTTAATCTGATAACAGGCAGAGGCTCAGGGTTTCACAGCAGGCCTCGCCTCTCCCATGACCCTGTGCCATCCAAGAAACAAAAACATCCCTTCTACCACATCACACTAACTGCTCAAAGCAGATTAAGCAGGGAGCTGAAGACAGCAGGCAGCAAAGCACATAAGGGGAAAACTTTTGGTATGCACAAGGGCAGGAAAAGAATAAAACCAGCTCCTTAGCAAATAGCGGCCGTGGCTTTATCCCATGTCTACTAGCTTCACAAGACTGGGAGTCTGCACATGTGTTTGCTCACTCACTGCTTTCACAGCCGGCTGTCAGACTTGACCCTCCAAAGTCACACCCCAGCTCTTCCTGCAGGTGAACCTGAGAGACATTGTGTGAACCCTCTTCATTGCTTGAGCTCATGAAAAAGTACCAAGCTTTGAGCGGTGGAACATCTCCAGCTAAGCCAACAGAGCTGGAAGCAGCACAAGACAGCTACATCCCTCCCCTTGCTGTGGCAGGGGACACTCTCACGGCCCTTACCTGGTCTCGCAGCCTCTCCTGGTGTCCCATGATGGCCGTGGCATGATGCGGGTACTTCTGCTTCAGATGTTCCAAGAAAGCTTCTCTCTTTCTGTCCATCTCAGAAGTTTGCATTCCCAGGATTTCTTTGGAACTCCGGGCCCCGCCTAGCGTGTGCCTTCTTGGAATGTGGCGGGAAGCCTTGGAAGCGGCAAGCCGGCTGCTCCCATTAGCAAGGCGATCCTTGGCCCTGCGGCATTCCGCATCTTCCGGTGCTGTCACCTGGAGGCTGCTCTTTCCTGATTCTGAAAAAGAGAGAAAAAAACATGCCCATGGTTCACGAGCTCACGCTAGACATCCCTTTTGCAGACTGCCAGGCTGGGGAAGCTGCAGCCTGTGTTACTCTAGGAATGGACGGTGGTAAATATTTTTCCTCTTCTTTTTTTCGAAGCCAGATGGAGAAAAAAAATGCCTAATGGAAATAAATAGTTAAAAGTATTTTTTTCATCATAAAGATAGAGCAATAAAAGCTGTGATTAGGACCAGGGAACTGGGGTTAGGGTGCAACACGTAAGGCTACCACTTGTTAACACCAGCTTCCCATATTGGAACAATGGTTTGTGTCCTGGTGGCTCCTCCTCTTCCAATCTCCACCCTGCCGATGCAACTGGGAAAGCAGTGGAAGATGGCCCAAGTGCTTGGCCCCTGCCACCCACACAGGAGACTTTCAAGGAACTCCTGGCTGCTGGTTTTGCTGGCCCAGCCCTGGCTGTGGCAGTCATGTTGGGGGTGAGTCAGTGGATGGAAGATCTCCCTGCCATCACCACCCCTCATAGCTCCACGTTTCCATCAAATACATCAATAAATCTGAAAACGAAAACAACTTTATGATGTCTGATTCGTCCCCTGAGCTTATTCCAAACAAGGATACTCTCAGCCTGACAGGTTTGGGGGCAAGAAATCGGGTCATTCCTTAACCCTCACCTATAATTACAGCAATATTCACTCCAGTGATTCTGATGGTGCCTGTATCTTTAATTGCAGTTTCGCTCCAGTAACGTAATCTGCAACATGAGTTTCATCACCAAGGGCAGCCACAGTCATCCCCCTGTGATGTGATCTAAGGCACCCTATGCTATGACAGGTGCACACCTAACAGGACAGGTGCCCCGGGGAACAGAAGCCTGCCTGGAAAGCACAACATGAAAGGCCATGGCGGCGGGGCTGAAGGGGTGCAAGGCAGCGGCTGAGACACCCCTCACTCACGGTAGGCATCACCTAGAGAGCGCAGCCTTCTTGCTGGTCTAGCTTTGATCTAGACTGCCTCTGTGCTACCTTACAGGAATAGGCTCATTTCCACTGAGAACAGATCAGGGAAAGCACACAATGCCAATGCCCAGCATGGACAGGGAATCCCTGCTCTGTCTCAGAATAAAAGTCTGGTTTAAATGCTCCATTTCAATGAGAAACAAGAGCCAAAAATTAGGAGCCAGTTTTATGATGCAGCAGGAAAAGCTACTGCCTGCAACGGCGGCATCCCACACTGGCCAGGTCCTGGCTGCTTCACTTCCTATCCAGCTTCCTGCCAATGCACCTGGGAAAACAGTGGAAGATAGCCGAAGTGTTTGAGCCCCTGTATCCTCATAGAGGACCCAGGTGGAATTCTTGGATCCTGGCTTTGGACTGGCCCAACTTTGGCTTTGTGGTCACCTGCAGGGGCAAGGAAAGAAGGAATCATAGGATAGAAGACTTCTCTATCTCTCTCGGTCTGTCTCTTTCTCTCTCTGTAACTCTGTTCTTCAAATAAACAAGTAAATCTTTGTAAACATTGAATGAAGTGTAGGAGGAGTTTGGTACAATGGTTCAGTGACAGCATTCTGTGTTAGAAAGTCTAGGCCCGAGTCCTGGCTTCGTCTAACTCCAGCATCCTGCTGCTGCACCCCCTGGGAGGCAGCAGGTAATGGTTCAGGTCTTGGGTCACTGCCTGGGAGGTCCAGATGGAGTTCCAGGCTTGTGGCTGTGGACTGGCCCAGCCCAACCATTGTGCACATTTAGGGAGTGTATCAGTGGATGGAAGATAACTCTGTCTTACTGATTTTTAAATAATTAGGGGGAAAAAATCTGAGAAGAAATAAATAAAACATTTTTGTTTAAAGGAAGAGAAAGTAAGAAACATTGAGAAGCACAAAGTAGGGGTGGGAGATGGCCAGATCTTCTTCACAGGGCACAATTCTTATCACCTGCAGTGCAGTTATAGATGCAGGTGCACCGCCCACTGCATTCGGGGGAAAGGCAGGTAGCCGGGCCTCAGGTATCCTGACCATAACTCCAGACGCCAAACAAGTTACACCTCTCACCCTCCTCTTCTTCACCAAAACTGGGAGTGGCTGAGACAGCACTAGAGCTGTCCACAGCCTATTTAACTTCATACTAATGTTTAAAAAAATGCTAATGTTTAATTTGTCTATGCTTTATCTTTAAAAGTGCAAAGAGGGGGGCCTGGCACAGTGGCCTAGCAGCTCAAGTCCTCACCTTGAACGTGCTGGGATCCCATATGGGTGCTAGTTCTAATTCTGGCAGCTCCACTTCCGATCCAGCTCCTTGCTTGTGGCCTGGGAAACTGTCAAGGATGGTCCAAACCCTTGAGACCCTGCACCCACGTGGGAGACCTGGAAGAAGTTCCTAGCTCCTGGTTTCAGATTTGTACAGCACTGGCCATTATAGCCACTTGGGGAGTGAATCATCAGACGGAAGATCTTCCTCTCTGTTTCTCCTCCTCTCTGTATATCTGACTCTGCAATAAAAATAAAATAAACCTTAAAAAAAAAGTGCAAAGAGGGAACAGGTGCTTGGCTCAAAGGCCTCCAGCCCAGAGTGCCTGATTCAAGGCCTGGCTCTGGCTCCTGTCCCCAGACTCCTGCTCATGTGTACCCTAGAAGGCACCTGGTTCAAAAAGTTGGATCCCTGCTACCTACACGGGAGTTCCAGAATCCTGGCTGTGCTAGGTTGGCTAGTGAGAGCATTACCAGAGTGAGCCCAGGGATGAGAGATTTCCTTGTCTTTCTAGACAGGAAAGTATAAGATTCAGGATTTGCCAGTTCTGTTCATGTGAATTTCAGAGAAACACAGACCCAAACTATATCCAGGACACCAAGCAACAGGTGTCTCCCAAAGAGCTGAATACCAACAAATCCCCTAAAAGCGATGTTCCCTAAAGTTTCCCCTTTCTGGGTCCAGGACTACAGGAGACAGGCACCCCTTGGGCAGGCACAGGAAATGGTTTCCTCTGCTGCTGGTTCTTCTGTGCCAGTCCTCCCACCCAGATGTGCGTCTGGGGATGGATTCTTGTTTATACTTTCGTTGTCATTACACTGCTAATTATAGCATCTCCATCAGCCGCTGATGGGGAGAAACACAGCCAACCTTGTCAGCTCTCCTACTTTGTGGCAGTTTCTGCAGTAAGCATAGAAGGCGAAGAAAGAAAATTAACTGTAACTTAACATACCTATACTCCCGGCCAGTCCTCAGACTCAGAACATGGCTGTGTTTTCTTTTTCTTTTTCTTTTTTTTTTTTTTTTTTTGCTCATTTGTTTTTTAAGAGTCTCCTTCTTAATCATATACAAGGAATAGGATCTATTGACCAAAACTAGAAAACAGCATCTCCCTGGCTGAGAAAGACATGCACAATCTAAAGAGGTATACACATACCCTCTGAGTATGTTGGCTATGTGCTTCATAAATGACTGGACATTGCTGACTTCCACGGAGATTTTTGTAAGAAGAGTTTTTACATCATTAAAATAGCAAGCTTTTTTTTTTTTTTTTTTAATTATCCAGGCCAGGCACAGGCACTGTGGTACCGTGGGTGAAGCTCCCTTCTGCAGTGTCAGAATCCCATATGGGAGCCGATAAGTGCCAGCTGTTCTACTTGCAGTTCATCTGCTTCCTAACGCACCTGGGAAAGCAATGGAGGACAGTCCAAGTCCAAGTCCAAGTGTTTGGATCCCTACTTCAACATAAAAGACCCAGAAGAAGCTCCAGACTCCTGGCTACGGCCTGGCCCAGCTTTGACACTTGTAGCCATTTGGAAAGTGAATCATTGGATGAAAAGATCTTTCTGTCTCTTCTCTCTGTAACCCTTTCCAAAAAAATCTAAAAAAAAATTTTTATGGAGGCCAGGGCCAACATCATGATACAGCGGATCAAGCTGTTGCTTACAACGCTAGCACCCTGTGTGACTGGTTCAAGTCCCAGCTGCTCCACTTCTGATCTAACTCCATGCTAATGCACCTGGCAGGGCAGCCAAAGATGGTTCAACTACCCGGGACCCAGTTACCCACAGAGAAGACCCGGATGGAGTTCCAGCTTCCTGGTTTTGGTTGTTGTAGCCATTTGAGAAAACAACCAGGGGAAAAATGCTCTATCTCTCCTATCTCTGGCTCTCCCTTTCCATAACTTGACCTTTCAAATGAGTAACTCTTAAAAAAAAAATAGTACATATTACACAGGCCTGCCACATGCACAGCACGCACACTTAAGGATACAAGTTTATGCACTTCCAGTCCCAACACCCAGCTCTATTTTGCTCTTGCCATGCACACTCACATGCCATCCTGCTTCATTCAGCCATCATCAGAGAGTGCTGGGTGTCCAAGCAGCAGGGACAGTGCCCCCTTAGGAACAGAGAAGCCTTCTCCTCTTTGTAAACAACTGGGGAAAGAGCTGGCGGGAGCAGTCTTGGACAGCAGCGTCCATCCATCAGCACTGACCACAGAGCAGCCCCACCTTGCATATCCTCCAACACCCGCCCCACATCTTACATACTTTGCCCTGGGGAGAGATATACCAACCTGCCACAACTTTCCTGTGTGTGTGTATGTGTGTGTGCGCGCGCTTTTTTCCTCTTACGGATTTTTCCTAAATCTCTGTAGTTGTCACACTAGACCTAGTGGGGGGCTGAGGGCTCACTGCTAACAGTACCTACTATAGGTGGGATGGGTTGGGGGCACCATGTACAGCCCCCAGAGCCCCATTCTGCCTTGTGCATTACTACACCCCCACCTGTATCCTACCCATCCCAGCCCCAGCCCAGGCACCTCTGCTCGGCTTCCACCAGCACCCAGCACTGCCCGGCGCCCGACACACAAAGCCACC